ACAACCAAGAGAACTGAAAACATGTCACTCAAAACCTTGTACATGAATGTTCACAGCAACATTATTCATAACAGCCAAAAAGTGAAAACAACCCAAATGTCCATCAACTGATGACTGAGTAAATAAAATGTGGCACATCCATACAATGGAATATTATTCAGCAATAAAAAGGAATGAAATACTTACAAGCTACGACATGAATGAACCCTAAAATCATTAATCTAAATGAAAGAAGCTTGACACAAAAGGCCACATATTGTATGATCTAATTTTTAAGAAACGGTCAGAATAGGCAAATCTACAGGGACAGAAAGTAGATTAGTGGTTACCAGGGGCTATGGGGAGAAGGGGGAATTGAGAGTGGCTGTTAAGAGATATAAGGTTTCATTTGGGGATACTGAAAATGCTCTGTAATTAGACAGTGGTAATGTCTGCATACCCCTGTGCATATACTAAAAAAATCACTTAATGTACACTTTAAAATGATAAATTTTATTTATATGAAATTTTATTATATAAATAATATCTCAATGAAAAAAAAACCTTAATGGCCTTGCTTTTGTTTTATTATTGTATTTACACCTTACTTAGCAAAAGTTTAGAGGCACCGCTTTAAAGTTAAAAAGCACAGTTAATTCTCAAAGTCTTCCTCATCTCCCTGCATTATCCTTCACCTAGCTTTCTGCTGTCTAAATCCCCACAGAGAGATACAGTCAAGTCAAAACCTAAGATGAAAAATATGCTAACTTTGGGTAATGCTTAAAGCTTTTTACTGCTATTTTTAATATAACCACTGTCTGGGAGGCCTGTATTATGTAGACAATGGAGTTCAATACAAGTGGTTTCAATACCACAACAATTCTAGTCTTCCAAGACATCAACAATTAAATACTTTCCTGAGTGGGTTAGAAAAACTTGCCTCTCTGTTGTGGTAAGGACGGCTCCACCACTTTGCTTCCACAGCCTCTTTCTAGGAACCTTCTACATTCTTATCCCCAGATAAACCCTTAAACTGGCTGCTTAGCACACTCTATATTATGTAAAGCATCTCATGCAGTATTTTGTACACAGCAGGTATACAAAATATACAAAAAGATGCTTACTGAATAAAATCATTCTCGTTTAGGAGGCAGAACAGGGTATGTGCCAATTGTCTCTGCAGAAAAGTACAGAGCTTCATGGTCTCCAAGATCACTGGTCAGGATATTCCACATTCCTGAGAAACTGGGGGAGAACTTTAAATAGATTACCCTTATCAATTAACTGTAAGTGGACATATAACATGTAGTGACCTATCCATTGTTAGCACTAATTAGCATTGCTATGATGTTTCTTTGAAAAAGGAATAGAGAAAGGAAAAAACATACCTACTCAATTAACATTATGTGCTTTGTTCTTATTTTTACAGAAAAACTGCCAAGTTGTAGTAGGAATAAAACAGTGTTCACGATTCACATGTATATTCAGTATCCAAAAATGGATGCAGAAATGGACACCAATTTTTTGGTAAAGCATTTTCTCTAACACTTGATTTACCTACATTATGGAAACTGAGCAAATAGGCAGAAACAAAATGTTTCATTCTCGTTCTGACATGTTCAAGGCAAAGGAAGCCCATTCCTTTCCTGGAGCTGACCACAAATAATTACTCCATAATAAACAACGCCCTCAAAATTGTCAGCAATCTAGGAAAGACTCTGGGGATTTGTATAAAATAAACAAAGGCAGTGATTTTTTACTATATTTTATTTAGAAAAACAACTCGGGCATGGGCATTGAACTGTACCTTTTCTTTGGTGCACTTTTCAAATGATAATTTCTTCCACTGTCACCATTAAATCTTAATCCATTCCAGCTCCTTGCATGGGTCATTGAGTCTATATGTACTGCTGTTATTTTAAAATGTTTCCCCTTGGTAGGGAAAGAGGGGGAGAAAAGATGTTGAGAGCCAGATGGACCTCTTCACAGTTCATTTATCAAACCTAATACGTGGGGCTCCACCCTCCTCTCACTCACTATTGCAGTTAAACTTCCATATAATTTGGTAATCATTTTCATTATCAGAGAGTGACCCTAAAGCAGCCTATCCTGGGATACCCAGTCCTTGCAGCTGCTCTTTTTCTGCCTTTTCCTACAGTAGACCCTAAGAACCTCAGAGTTTATTAGCTGCAGACTGACCTTTGGGCTGTGGAGGTCAAGAAGGGGTCAGATCAGAGGGCTCGCCCAGTTCTTTAAAAGCTATAACAAGCTGTCCATCAGGCAGAGTGGACTGTATAAACAAAGCCAAATCTTCAGAAATTCTGTACCACTTCTGTTAACACTTACCCTGCATTCACACAGCTTCTCCTGATGTACTTTGGATCATTCAACTCTGGGGAAGTGAATAGACAGCCCTAATAAGCCTATTTGGAGAGGGTTGTTTATGGGATTACCAAGCTTGTGGAAGAAAACCCACAGCACTCAGATGTGCCTCTAGAATCACAGGGTTGTGTGACACTGTGACAAACTCGGTTACCCTGAATCATGCAGAATTGACACTTTCCTAAAAAAACTAAATTACAGGGAACATATGCTTTCAGTTTAAGAGATTCACTGAGTCCTAAACAATGGCTTGGTTCCCAGCCTGAGAGAGAGACAAATATTTTATAACCAAGACACAGGTGTCACTTAAAATAGTCTCCTAACATCATGATTGCAAATGAACCTGCCGATGAGGCGGGTAGAAACCTTTATTACAAGAGACTTATACTAAACTTATTGCCAGCTGCAGAGTCTTGGTTGACCTAAATTTCCTGAAGTTGTACAATTCATAATGCATTCTCTAATATGCAATATAAGGTAATTAGAGTCATCTGTATTTAACTTTAAGAGGAAAAAATTTCTATTATCTAATCTAACTGATCCCCTGATAGCTTTGATGAAAGTAAAATACTGTAACCTATTGCTTGACCTTTGGTGAGTGCTAATTATTTTCTGTCAAAGCACATTTTTCCTCACGTAATTCCAAAGTATACAATAGGCCAATCTCTACAACACAGGCAGCTCAGTGAGCACTGCAGTGGGTGTTTTATAACTTTCCCCACCACACGCTTGATGGCTACTCCAGGCAATGCCTGATTCCAGACGGCCAGATGACGCTTTGATGAGGGAAAGAAAGGTGTATGGTAACCGTCTGTTTATATGGATCATGTGGATGAGTCTTTTAGATAGGTCACCAGGATGGGAAACATCAAATGGGGGTGAAGAAGGGGTGGGGGAAGGATTATGGTTATTTAATACTCTGAGGACACTTTTCCTTCTGAGCTCTCAAGACACCACCCTCTTGAAATTTTCTTTCAGGTGTTTAGTTTTAAGGGGGCCTGCGTAGTGTCAGCTGCTAAGCTCTTTCTGTCCTTCTCCCCTACCACAAAGGACTTGAGCATTTTTGTTTCAGATGCTAGACTACATCAACTTCAACACTGGCTCCAGCTCCTGATTAAATTGTTAGCAGTTAGGGCCAGAAATGCTGAAACCAGACTCCTTTGAAACAGGCCATTGTGGTCATGTTGTCTGATGATTTGGTGTATTAGGAAATTATTGTTAACAAACCAAATGCATGCAACAAAAGACATTCGTTCTCAACTTTTGCTCTCTCTCTGGGCCATGCCATCTTTGGAGGAAAGGAGGATGGAAGAGAGATTACAAGGAATTCTTTCTTTCTTCCTTTCCTATTTAATAAGAGTCCCTTATGGGGAAGTTATAAAACATCAAACAGAAAGAAAGAAACCTCTTAGATGGCCCCACACTGATATTCCATTATTTAATAAAACATGCATACTTCAATGAATATACATACTTAGACTGTAACACATAAAAAACATAAAAATTAATCACTGAAAGGTAAATTGAAAATCATTTAGTCATTACTGTAATTGAAACTGTCATTTACTCTGACCACATTATCAAAAGGGGGGGATGGATATCATAGGGAATTAAAAAATTATTGTTTAAATGCAAGTCTGAATGTAGGGATAATACACATATTTGAAAAAGCAGCTTTCTGATATCCAATCAGAATCAATCGTTCATACTGTCTTCTTTCTTGGGAAATGCTCATCTTTAGCCTTGTTCAGACAAATCTATTTTTATGATCATTGTTACTAGTAAAGCTATCAATTATTGTAAATTCTGTTGCATAAAGTCATTTGGAGAATATTATGGCTATCAATAAATGTTTTTGACTCCCAGGCACATAGAATTTTTAAGCATCAAAAAAGACTCTGAGACAAAACATAGCATAATCTTCCTGATTCTTTCCAGTCTTGCTTAGGGACAGATAATAATTCAATAATTATTACAAACTGCAGATCTAAAAGATAACCCTAAAATTGGGGGAACTAGTTCCAGTCTTCCACATATCAATTGTTTTTCAAAAAAAAGGGCAAGATAACATAATTATTTACTATGCGAGCATCAATTCGGTAAAAACCAATAATCTATAGAAACTTCCCACCAGTAACACTTTCTAACCACAGGTACTCCATGTGGAAAGAAACCAGGTTGAAGCAAAAGTAATTCCTACTTTGTCAATTTTAAAAACGTGGTTGATAAATAGACCATCTTCAAGCAATCTGTCCTGCATTGAGTGATATAAGAGCACTGTGTGAATTTCCCAGACATCTGCCCTAACTAAATAGCAATGCTAGTCTTTTTGGACTGCTGATTAAAAAGGGTTCTTCAGCATCATGTACTTATATGACAGGATGCTCAAGATGTAAATGTTTATGCTAAATGTTACACTCAGGAATAATCATATACACACCCAGACGACATCATGCATCATTACAATTAATGTAGGTACCATGATCAGGAAAGCTAACTTTAGCTGAAAACATTTTAAATTTGCTTATATTTCATGGCCCCTCAAATGAGAGGGACAAGACCAGCCACAAGGAAGGGCTTAGCCCGATATAGCTCTTGATTGTCAGGGACAACAAATCCTATTTCATAACAGAACAAACCTAGCATGCCATTCCGTCCTCAGGTTCTGGCGGGTGGTGAGCGAGGCAAGGATGGCAGTCAAGATTTCATTCCTTTGTTCCACGGGGAGCCCCTCTCTTTTAACTTCATGAAGCACTGCATTTGTCTAAAGAAATGATCCAAAAAAGAGAAAGAAAACGTGAAAAATTAATAATAAGAAAAGCCCATAAGCAAATAAGGACAGTAAATCAATGGCTTTTTTTATTACAGTTCCCCTGCTAACAAATCAATACAGTAAATGATGGTCAAAAATGGCCAGCATATATTTTGTATTTAATCAATGTACATGGCACATAAGGTAAACTCTAAAGCTCCATTGCCTTAAGTAACACATCAAGATACTGTGCATTCTCACTCTAATTTTCTCAGCACACCAATGATTTTTTTTTCCCTGGGAAATGCCTACCATGAGCTATTATTAGAAATGACTTTCACGTACACTTCACTGTGAGTTGTTTGTTTTGCCTTTTTAAAAAAGAGCAGTCTCTGACTTTTGCTCTATTTCCTGCCATCCAGCTGAGCCTTTCTGCATTGCCTCTCTCATTTGAATCATTACTTTCAATTTCCACCCATGCCAGCGACTGGAAGGGTGCGGGGGAGGACAGGATTCACTCATTTTCCTTGATTGTTGCCAATCAAGACCTTGTAAAGAAAGAGAAACGAGTGAACAAAACTCAGCAAGAAAATTCTCTCTCAATGAACACCTTTAGATTTTATAAATGTTTTAAATTTAAAGTAAGTGTGGCTTCTCTGGAGATTTTATAACCAGGGCAATTGCTAAAAAGAATAAAATTGTCACTTTCTGTGTTCTAGTCACTCAGTATATTTCTTATCTAACTGACGCCAAGACATTTGTTTACTTGAAGAGCACATTCATAATGTGGTTCAAATTATCTTGAAATATGATTCCCTTAACTCCTCTAAAGGCATTTTACAGTGCATATTTAATATCTTCATGACAACCTTGAGAAGAGGTGTGGTGAACAGGTATTGTTTCTGTTGCCTACACCTATACCCAGTCCCCCATCGCTTGGCAACAGCACCTAGATCTCTCCTCTTGGAAGAAGTCTTTTCTTTTGTTGTATGTGGTGTTAGAGGACTGTCAACACCAAGGTGTCTTGCCTTCCAGTACACCAAGGATGTGGCCAGGCCAACTTCATTCTCTTTTCTAGAACTTTAGACTCTTGAGAGGAATGACCAAAAAGAGGGAAAAAATTCAGAGGCAATGTATCAGTTTCTTTAGTTCCTACCACCCAAAGTCCTCAGAGTATCCTTGGTTTCCTTAACTTTCTGAGTCCAGATCGTTCTCTTTTCCTTTGATGGTCTAAGTTACCCAATATCCTTTCAATAAAGTCCCATTTTGTGTAAATTCACCAGAATCTGTTTCTGTGGCTTATAATCAAAAACCCTAATTGATACAAACAGATAAGGCAGGGAACAGTATCTCCATTGTAAAGGATCCAAGATAACCTGATTAGTACTAGCCAGCAAAAGGAGCCTAGTCGCTTTCTCCTGGGTCCAGTATCACACCTACTATACTGGGAGATATATACTCAATTGGACACTCAATTAAGCTTTCATAGCAACAACACTTTCAGCCCTCCAGCACAGAGAGGAATACTCAGCTTCTCTAGGCAATTCCAGAACATGAAACCTAGGATCCAGAGGTTGCAAATTCAAATACCCACTAGGGCCAAGCAGATAACATGAATGAGTTAAACAGAGGTTACCCGAAGAGAGCATATGTTCTGTCTGAAAAGGCAGCCACTATTCAGCTCTAGCAAACTCTGCCATTCAGAAAAACTGGCTCAGCGGTCCCATATTCATGAATTTTCAAAATAAACAAGAAATCTGTTTGTTTGTTCATTTGTTTATTATGTGAAAATTCCTGATTTTGTGATGGAAACTCATTTTTTAAAAAATTTTTAAATGCCGTGTGAGTCAAACAAGAAACACCAATGGGCTGAACAGAACTCACACAGCTATGTTTGTGACCTCTAATCTAAAAAATGTCTAATTTCAGAGAGGTCTGGGCATCAATGGGTATTCTAACAGTGGTACTGATCCTTGTCTGAGACACCCCACCTCAGGTACTTGAAGTTGGAAGAAACCTCAAAAAGTCATGCAGTTCATCACTATGTCTGTGGATACATATTATTTTATCAAAATGCAAAAATGTGTCACATAGAAGACAAAGTACACATCTAGATGGCTCCAAAAATATGATGAAAATAAAATTATTTCTCCCTTTGAATCTATTAAAATACTTTTTAGAAAAAGTTATTTAGCTCTTCCTTGCTTTTCACATCTAAATTTTATCAAGGAGCCTTTGTTTTCCACAGGCCCTGAACAACTTCTAAAAGGGGAAGGAGAAAGGATTTAATAAAGTAAGTTCCACAAGGCAGGGGATGTTGTCTGTTTTAGTTCACCATTGTATCTCCATTGCCCTCCTAATGACTTCTAATAAATATTTGTCAAAACAATAAATAAAGAAGGAATTTGAAAAATAAGTATTGCAAAAACAAAGAGCAATAGAAGACAGTCTTCTTTCAAAAAATTACTATGACACAAATGATAAACTCATAAAATAGATAAACTAAGAGATAACTATGTGCTTTATCAAGGAGCTCTTCAATTCAAGAAAGGACTCCAAGGTTTCTTTAAATAATGAGATCCACTAGTTCATGGTTTCCCAAACTTCAGACATTCTAGCATGGCTTCAAAATTCTTGCCATATTTGTGGATAATATTTAACATTTTTCTTAAAAATTACCCATTTTAAAAAATATAATGGAAAATCCATTGGTGCTTATCATAAATGAGAAGATAATCATAAAAGTCAATATGACGAAGCTGTATATCTATTTCATTCTAGACAGACAGATATTATCGTTTGCTGAAGGCTCTGAGACTGAAGCATGCTCCCTCTTCATAAAAGATATTAACTGGTGTTGCAGAATGTTAATGACCTATCGGATTTAAATGAAGACTTTCTTGACATAATCACATAGATTAAAAAGGGACTGAAGAACGAATCATTTTCTCATAGTGTGGTCCTATATACAGAGTCCCCAAGTGTCACCTAGCATCATCCTGGGTAAAGCCCATGGTCCACATCCCATATTCTAATACATTGCCCTACTGCAGTGGTTCTCAAACACTTTGCAGATAAACCTCTTTTCTCCCCAAATGTATTCTTACATAGAAGTCCACTATATGCAGCAAGCAAAACTGGAGCGGTTCTCTTTGAAGCTGGTGTGGAGGACTTCTTTAAGTTACAGGGCATCTCCTCAAAACCCCAGGGCACTGAGGAACACAATTTGTTGATCCCAACCCAAGAGCATTTAAGATAGGATTCAGGTTTAAAAGTTTATACCTTGCTGGCAGAAATACAAAATAATGCCATTCTGATAAATAGTTTGGTAGTTCCTTATAAAGTTAAACATACAATTTAACACATAACCCAGCAATCTCTCTTGTGGGGATTTATCTAAAGAAATGAAAACTTCTTCAGATAAAAGCATGTACACAAATATTTATAGCAGCTTTATTCCTAACTACCACAAAAAGAAACAAACTAAATGTTTTTCAAAGGGTAAACACACTGTGGTACATTTACACAATGGAATACTACTCCCCCCTAAAAATGGATGATTTAACTGATACATGGAACCACTTGAATGAATCTCAAAGGCATTATGCTGAATGAACGAAGTGAATCTCAAAAGGCTAAACATTCTATAATTCTATTTATTTGACATTCTGAAAAAAGGCAATACTGTAGGGTCAGAGAACATAGTAACTGCCAGGAATCAGGTTGGGTGAGAAATAGCACGAGGGAATTTGGGGGGGTGATGGAACTATTCTGTATCCTGACTGTGGTGGTGGTTACATGAGTTTATACATATGTTAAAACTCATAGAACTGTATAACTAAAAACAGGTCAAGTTCTCATAGTATGTAAATTTTATAAAATTTAAGTTAATTAAAAATTTCATTTCCATCACATTTTTTTAAATTTAAAAAAAAAATTTTTTTTTTCCTTTTTGTCTTTTTTCGTGTCCGGCAATGGATCGCAACCCTCAGTGTCGCACCTGCACCGGAACGGGACCGGCAACGGGATCGCAACCCTCGGTGTTGCGCCCGCACCTCGCTCAGCCAGTGAGCAGGAACCGGTCTGTATGTGGGATCCAAACCCTCAGAGGGAGCGCCACCGCGCTCCCAAGCGGCGCACTGTAGCAGTGCGCCACCGGGCCGGCCCCATTCCATCACATTTTTAAGACAAGAATGCAGAAAACAGTTTACAAGTAAACACATCTAATGAATAAGTAGTAAAAACACAGAGAAACATATCTGTGTGACAGAAACAAATTCTGTTACAAAAATATTTATTTTCAATATTAGAAAAGAAAGGGTGAACTTAGATTGAGCATTCAGACCTTAAAATACAGTATTTCATAAAATTTAGGGTGAAAAGAAGTCACTGCACAAAAGGAAATTTCAAAATGTCAAAAGAGCATTCTTTTTACAAGGCAATTAACAGTGATATTTTCTCCTTATAATAGTCTTGGTTCCTCAAGTATAGACATTACCCAGGAAATGTTAATAGGCCATTTTTCCATTAGTAGTAACATAGAACCATCTTCAAACAAGTACCAACTTTTAAAAGGTCTCCTATTACCAAAAATATGCTCCTGTCCCTTACCCTCCCCTCAAAATATAGGAAAAGAAAACCACCAATTTGGAAACATGCTCTGGAAGCTGAATTGCATTTCATTAGTAACTCCTTTTCAGTAGAAATCTATGGTAATACTGGCCAGATTGGAAAGGACTAAGCATATTCTTGAGAGTGACAGCTGTTCAAAACCCAGGAGTCGCCTTACAGATGCGTGTCCCTTCCATAACTGCAAATGGAGATGATAAGAGAACTTCTTAACAGGTACTTGTGAGGAGTAGTTGCCTGGAACATATGCCACCATGATTATTACTGTTTCGTTTCATCTTAAACTCAGCTAATCTACCTCATGCTAGGTTGTGCTAGTTTAACAAAAAGATTCCTGAAGGTGTCTATTACTTTAAATGAAAAATTTCAAAAGGAAATCAGGC